TATATCAAATTCAATTTATTGTCATATTTATGTATCTGAATTTAATTTCTACTTATTATTTTATTTAATTGTTATTAGCTAATTTATTCATAAAGATTAAATAAATTATATATCTTTAAATCTAATTAGGGTCTTCTAATTTATTAATTTATATAAAGTCCAAACACGTATAGTAGTACATTTTTTACTAATGTGTATTTTTATTTTGAGTACAAAATATAAATTTTAATTTCAAAATAACAAGATGTAATTAATCGAATGATGTATAAATAATAGCGTTTATTTATTTTGAAATTAAAATTTATATTTTTAACTTCAAATAAAAAATACACCTTAGTAAAAATGTATGCATGTTTGGACAGTATATTATATATATTAAATAAATAATTAATTTAGTGTTTATAAACTAAATACTTAAAATCATTTTTCAAGAGTCATCTAGCTCTCTATTGTTATAGGGTAGGAGATTTTTAATTCTCCAATCTGCTAAATAATACCATCTAAAATCAAAATATAATTATGAATTCTAAATTTGTTTACAATAATATCTATATTAATCTTTTTTTATAAATACCTTTATTTTAGAGTAAATTTAGTTAAACTGGATAAATATTTAATTATTAGGCTCATTTGGGAATCATCATTCTTACAAATTCTTCATAACTAATATAACCGTCACCATCCTTATCAGCCTCTTCTATCATATCCTCTATTTCGTTATCTGTCAATTTTTCTCCTTAATTTTTCATGGCACATCTTAATTCAGGTATTGATATGAGTTCATTTCCATCTTTGTCTAATTTTTTTCTCTCTTCAGATTCCAATTCCTTCATTTTTCTGCCCATCAAACATAAAAATTAAGCAAAATCGATTGTTCCATCTTCATCAGCATCAAATTCTATGAATATATCCTATACTTCTTTCTCAGTTGGGTTTTAGCCAATTGATCTCAAAATTGTTGAGAATTAATTAGCTGTAATAACGCCATCACAATTCTTATCCAAAAAGTCGAAGGCTTCTTTAAATTCAAAGATTTCTTCTTCCGTTAATTATTCAGCCATTTAGATTTATTTATTTAATTAATGAATTGACGCTTTGGTAATTGGCTTATAATTGCAATTAGAATTTAAAAAAGCATTTTTACAAAGCATTAAATCAATTAATTTTTAAAAACAATTATACTTTATTTACAACAAAAATTGCAATGTGATAATAAAATCCTCATTTAGCTTTATCCAAAACCATTCCCCTAATATCAAATTAATTGGTAAATCTTTTTAATAATGGAAGGATTAATTCTGAATTATCTCATTCAACTAGATATAATTCTATAGAAATAAAATTCAACAATATTCCTTCTCCTGTTATTCAATAAAAATTCTAGATTGAATCTTAAATTTAATTGAACTAAATATAATTTCTAAAAGGTACAAATATATATTAATAGTTTGAGATTACCTCAAAAGGTCAAAAAAAAATTTTTATTAGGAAATTCTAAGAAATTCGCGCTAATATCAAAATTATACAAAAATAATCTTATTCTTGAACGTAAGAATCTCACTTATTTATATCAAGTCTTAATTTATTATAGCAGAATCTTTATATAATTATTTATCTAATCATCTCTTTCAAAATTGGATCAAGATGTCGATTTAAATTTACTTTAAAGTGAGATGTGAAACTTAATTTAAACAACAAGTATATATTGTTGGTGATAAATAAATAATGGGAGCTTGGAATCCATTAGAGGGGATTAGGCTTGATACAAATAGTGATATTTACCCACTGTGGATAGGAACTCTAATAGCAGATTTAGAACCAAGTAAGTGACCTTAATAATCAAAGATTAGCTGATCAAATTTAAAGCAGTGATTGTAGAATCTGAAAAAATAATATGGGAAACTATTGAAAATAGAGTAGTATAAGTGTTGTACTAATATTAAACAGTATTATTTACATTCGACTCAAGTCCTTTAAAAATGTTAAAAATTAAATCCTTTTTTGATTGTGATCAAGATTCTGACGTAGAAACTTCCAATTTTAGTATCGATTGTTCACTATAGTATTAGGTTGCGCTAGAAGAAGATAATTAAAGAATGTTGTTAGCCCTTTAGAATTTGATTATTTGAGCTCAGTATTTATTTAAAAGACTTTTTATAAGGATTCAGAATCAGACAACAGCAATATTTCATCAATCTTTGTTGAGAATATAGAAGCATTAAATAATTTCAACAAGGAGGAATTCCTTGAGTATAAGCCTTTTGAAAGACTTCTAAATAATTTAAATGAATGAATATTATTACTCATAGTTCATTTATGTTAATTTATCTTAAGAAATGTAAACAAAATACCATTTTAAATATTTTCAAATGAAGTAAGTAATGAATCTTATTTTCAATATTATATTTATCGATAATTTATTATTGATTTAAAAAATTTAAAATAGAATAAATAAATATGACAATTAGTTAAGTTTCTCTTTTTAAGAGGATCATGTTAGAATATTTTGAGATTGTAAATAAATGATTATTATATATGAGAGTCATGAAAGTAATTGATCAAGTAATTATTTATCAACTACATTAATTTTACTTCCTTATTTTCTATTTTAAGCTGTTTAAGGTATTTTTTATATTGTTTATTGTGTCTGAGGTTACTTTAAATTAGTATAAGACTGTGAGATCTTTAATTCATTTATTTAATTGGTAGATTCTGCTATCATTGGTGTATTTTTAGGCTCTTGTTATTCTACAATATCAGAATTTATTTTTTAAAGCATTTGCTATTTCATTGAATAGGTTGTAGGTTTAAAACCTTCATTTTTAAGTGCTTCAAATTACTTTTTTGTCATTCTTTATCCATCACCCCAATTTTAAATGTCTTATTGTCTGACAATTTCTAAATTTTAATCTTAGTAAATCAATTTAACTCCTTGATTTGGAGTGAAACCATCAAATGGTTTCATAACAGAAGCCTCAAAAATTTAAGGGGGATTAGTTTTTGCTTTTGATTAACGTGTTTATTCTTTTTTCACTTTTTCATTTTCTATAACTGCTTGTTAAACAGGTTTCTATGGCTAAAATACTGTATCAACTTAAGTAATTTTGCTTTGATATATTTTAAAATAAGTACTGAATTTCAGGTACTCTTTAATTATTTTTTACTTATGCAAAATCTTTAGCTAACATAAAGGTTCCATCATAATCATAGGCTAGTTATAATCCTTTGTGCTTAGGCAGGACATCTTTAACAATTTATTATCTTAATTATTCAGCCTAGGTTGATAGTTTTGTTACCTTTTTATTATGATCATAAATAGCTGCTTGCTGTTATTTTAATTTTTGTTGTATTTCTTTTTACTATCTCAATCTATCTGTAAAATAGATAGTTTAATATACCTATTTCTTCTTCAAAAGGATCATCATCTTCGTTCATATTTAATCTAATTGGTACCTGTTTTAGTAGTAATTATTTTTACATAGCTTTATTGCCAATTCGTTGTCATTTAATATTCAATTTTATAATTTAGATTGAAATATATAAAATGGATAATATCAAATTAGAAAAATAAGAAGATAAAGAATATATTTGTAAGAAACTTATCAACAAGGCAATAAGGTCATATAAATTTTTATAGTGCTTCAATTTTATATAAGGAAAGCATTTAAAAAATTTGATGATTAAGTCCATCTAAGATAAATTAAGAGTTGTGACAATTATATTGATTTTGGAAATAAATAATGTAAGATTTTTTAGAAAGAATAATATTATTTGTTTTGATTTTGCTACTTTATTCTCTACTTCATATCCTTATTATTTTTGTAATATCTGATGAAAAATTTGAGTGTTGATTTAAGCAGACCTTAAACTATCTGAACAAGATACTCCGAGATTAGAAATATATTCAAAATAAGTATAAAATAATATTATAAATGATATATCTTCAATTTGGAAGGTTTCATTTGTATTATCAAAAAATCTTGTAAATATTCTTTCCTTTGTTTAATGCAAACTTCTAAATTTTGATCAAATTGAAAAGTATTTATACTAATTTTAAATAAGGTGCTTTTGCAAATTTGAATTATTAAATAACTTCTAATTGCAAATTCAAATTAGCAAAATAAAATAAATATCTTAATCTATTATAAGTTGTTAGATGACAATGCAAATATATTGTAAAAGAAATCTCTGTAAATTTAATTGAATTAAATTGCAACATATATTTAGCATAATTTGATAAAATTGCAGAATTGACTCATTCCAATCAATTATTTGCCTTCAATTCAGAATTAATACCTTTAATAGCTTTGATTATAGTTGTTTGAGGAGATGGAAATGTACTATATGCTTTAAGATAATTCTAAAATTCAGAACCTACATAATTTTTAACTGCTGGAGGTCCAATCATCCAAAATGAAGATTCATCCATACCAATAGCTAGATTTTTATATTTAGACCTTTAGTTTTGCCAAAATGTCTCTAGGTAAAAATTTAATTATCAAAAAATGTCAAGCTAACGGATTTATTTTTGCTGATGGATAAGCAACCGTTGAATTTTGTAAAGATATGATATTATAAATATAACGATCAGAAACTTTTGTTAACAATATAAAATTAGTTAGATTTAAGTTATTTAAGATAATCACATATGTATGTAAAAATTACGGTGGAATAAGGAATTTAGAGATTAAAAAAAAATAAAAATCTAATTTATGAAGAATATTAAATCGTATCAACATAACCAAACATGATTTAATACCCAATCTATTGATTTCCTGTTCTTTTTATCAGTCAATAATCCTTTCATTAAATCCTTTACATCACCTGACAAATGATCAGGAAATTACAATGCAAATCCTTCTTGAATTTAAAAGGGAGTCTTACCTGTTGTTAATTCAAAGGTTAATACTCCTAATGACCATAAATCTATTGAATTATCATAAGATTATCCATAAACCATTTCTGGAGGTAAATAGTCAATAGTACCACATAAAGTATCTCTTTCTTTTTTATCTTGAATTGACCAACCAAAATCACTAATTTTGAGTACTCCATTACACCACAATATATTTTCTGGTTTTAAATCTCTGTGAATTATGGATTACTTTTGCATTTATTATATTGCTAAAGCAACTTGTTTTATCATATTTGAGGCTGCAGGTTCTGAATATCTTTTATTATTTTATTTCATCAAAGATTAGAATAAGGTTCCTCCATTGGCATATTCCATAATTAAACAATAATTACTTTAAGTTTCAAAATATTCGATTAACTGAATTATATTTGGATGTTTTAGCATTTATTAAATAGTCACTTCTCTTTACAACTATTGATTCATTTAATTCTTCTTTAATTGCTGTTTGTCAATCATCTTTATTGCATATATTTTCTTAGTTGAATTCAATATACATTTGTATACTTTACCAAATTTCCCAGATCCAATTTATTCTTGTATTGTAAAATACTCAATTCTATTTTTAGGTACACTTGAACTAGCTTTTTTATTAAGATTATTATGATTTGGTATTTTTGTGCAACTAGTTTATGTTTTGATTCTCTTCTATAATTATCCATTTGGAATTGGACTACTAGCTTTTTTGATTGGTTTATTATTGCAATTTTAAGTAATCTATTTAAGTATATCTGCAAATTAATTTTAGGTTGTTGAGAAATATCGACTTGGACTTCCTGTAACATTAGCAGAATTTTATCGTTTCATTTTATTAATAAAATAAATTCTTCTTTATAAATTATTTTAATTGCATTTGAATATTTTTAACAATATATTAATATTATTTTATACTAATTTTATATGAAAATTTAAATTGTAATCTTAAATTATAAAGAAATTAAAGTAATTTCCAATGAGGTATCAGTTGAAGGAGTATTTTCACTTGTAGAGTATAAATCTAGAATTTCAGCTGCCCCATCTATATTATTGATAGCAATCATATCTACGCCATTCATATAATTTAATTGAAAATACCCCTTTGCTAAATCTTATTCATACTCAAGTCTTTTTATTCAAACAAATTTCTAAAGTACAATCAGTTTGAATTTCCATTTTAATTTAAACTCAGATCTGACTTGTATTGAGATGTCATATCACGATCTGTGTTAGTTATTGTATTATCTAATGTTATTCTTTTTTGAGGCTAATAAGGCCTAGATTCTTCTTCTTAAGGTTTGTTGTCCAAAAATAAGATTTGTATTCACTTTCTTTCCTTTCAAAATGAATTTTAATTAATCAATGCATTCTAGATTTACAGTTTATTAAATTGGTTTAATTTATGGTGGCTTCTAGACCCTTGAGAAACCATTTTTTCACATTAATACTCTTTCAATCTGCAAAATATGTAATCTCTCACTTACTACACCAATATTAATAAAATAATACTTATTATTTTCAAATCCTATAACAACTAATAGCCCTGTTGATATGATTAAATACTTTTCTACAGAATTCTCTGTTGAAATTTTCACTTAAATTTATGCTAATGCATATATTAAAATTAACTTAAAGTTAAAATCTTATTTCTTATTTAGGTCATTAGTATTAATAAATTACTTAACAAAACTTTGAAATTTGCATTATAACAATACTGACTTTCCATAATTTTAAAATATTAATTAAAAATCATTTAATGATGATAATATTTTTATTTTTAAGTATTAATTTTTTAGTTAATCCTTTAAGGATATCAAATAAGGTAATAGTGTTCAATTTACATAATTCTGTATTTATATATTGAAATATTCATAAAAATGAATCTCAGATCTTTAATATATATATAGATCCATCTTGATATTGAAGTCCATATAATTCTTATTTCATTTTTAGAATTAATTATCTATAAATTTTTACATATTTAAATAAAATAAAAAAAATTCATAGAGTAATAAACTTATGTTGAATTCCAAAAAATAAATTAAACTTAAGCTTCAACGAGAATAGAAACCATTCCCACATTTACATGTTATACATATTGATGAAAACTTATAACAATTATGCAAATTACTTGATAATCAATAAACTTTAAAGACTGATATATAGAAATAAACAAAAAAAGTATTAAAAAATAGTAAAACCATAATTACAACTAATAAACAATCATCCATAATTAAATTCATTATCTAAAATAAAACAAAGATCTTTTCATAGAAAGAAAACTATTAATAATCACCAATTTTCAAAAGTCTAATTATAAAGTAATCTTAGCCACTAACCAAACCCTTCATAGGTTCTTTTAGAGAAAAAAAAATCTTCTCTGTTTAATATCCTCGAAGATTATCAACAATTTAAAATAAAATTAACAATTCCTATTAAGACATCTAGATTGGACCTTGGGAAGAAGAATGAAATTGACTCGATAATTAATTATTAAAATTTATTTCTTTTTATAGAATTATTTATAAAAGTAATTTATGTGGCTGATATAATTTCATAGGAATTTAAAGTTCACAAAGTACTTTTAGATTAAATGCTCAAATCTGATTACGAAGTAGTCCTTTTGAGGTACAATGGATTTTATTATAATCTTTTAAGAATTGGTACTTTAGTTAACTTTTTTCCTTCTCGAATAATTTGATACTGTTAGCCAATTTCATTGACATATAATGTGTTAGTTTGATAGCATTTATAGATGGCATGTTTTTCTATTGGTAATTAGACCTTTTAATGTGTTTTGGATTTGTTCTAAGTTTAAATGCATCCCATCGATTTTCTTATTAAATATGATAAAATTTAATTAAAATTTAATGTGATTATTCTTACATAATTTAAGTATCAATAATATAGATCAATTATATATGACAATTTTTGATTTATTCATTTTAATTTAATAATAGTAATAAAAATAAATTACAATTTATATACAAACTAAAATATATATATAGTAAAGTAAAAATCAATCTCCTAATTTGATGTGTTGCTTTCTTTTCTTCAAGAGTTAACTATTTTCTCTGTTTGTTAAGAAAGAATCAAAACTTTTAAACTATATATATATTTTTAAATATCTTACGATCCTTTATTTTAATAAATGATTATAGTTATCTTCTTTAAGAGTAGGATTGGTAAATGTTTCAATACTTAAATCACTTAAATATTGGCAAATTCTGTTTTCCAAATTATTATTGATTTCTTCTACCAAGTCTTAGACTGAACTTCTTATACTGCCATCATCAGTGCTCCAAGATTATGTTTAACTAACAGCATCAGAATTATCATAAATATATCCAAATTTAGTTGAATCCATATTATTTGCTATGCAATGATAAAGTTGAATGAAAATTATAAATATTAATTAATTTCTATTATATATTGATGAATATTTATAAAAATACTTAAACTAGAGATTCATATACATTTATTCATTGCAATTAGTTGATAATATTTGGTAAATCAATTTCTTTGTTTAATCTAAGAATTTAACCTCCTGGATTATCTATTAATTAGAGCCAATTTTCAACAGATTAAATAAGATTCACTATATAGATTTAAATTAATACTTATGATTATTTTTATTTGATCATTACTCATAAGAACATTTAAATTATGTTCATGAATGTATTTTAGTACATTACTGAAGAACATATTAGATACATCTCTTTATTAATAATATTGATGTAACATAGTAGCAATTAAAACATGTTATTTTTTTGAGGATTACTACTTGTCATCTTATGATTCTTCATATTTTTGCTTTTCTAACAACTTCCTTTCTTTTAGTTTATCAATTAATTTCTAAGAAACATTAGATATTGGTTTGGATTCATTTGATTTATCATTATCTTAAAAGATTCTGGAAATGTTTATGAATTGACAAAATTATACACAATCATTTTTACCAGAAATATTTTTTTCTTATTTAAGATTTATATTAGAGAGTGATGGTTTTTAGGGTAATTTGTATGGCTCTATGAAATCTCCATTTAATTGTAAATAAGATTCAAGCTTTTCTTTAAATAATTCTTTTCTTTAATTCAATTCTTGTGAATTAGGTAATTGTTTATCTGGAAATTTGAATAGAAGTTCATAATTTCCATTTTACTTTTCAAATTTTTCCCAATTTATGATGTAGCTTTATTACCAAACCGTTAAAATTTCTAAAAGTTGTCGAGTAGTAACTTATAATTAAGTAGAATCATAACAACTTTTAACAATGTTTGGCCAAAATAAGGATTCTCTCTAAAGTTAGATATAAAAATACTCTTTATTTTAGGAATAATAATTATGAGTCAATTGCTGATAAGATTTAAATTAATGAATAATATTTGCTTGCTTATAAGTTTCCAGTGTCATTAATTAATTGAAATCTTTCTCTAAGAGATGGTTTACTAAGATATTTTGATGCTATTTTAGATAAGGTAGGAAATTATTCAACAGAATTGGAATTCTCGTTAAAGAGAGTAGTACATTGACTATCTTCACAAAGTTTAACTTTCTTTTAAAGGTTTTGATTAAGGTCAGGCGCAGCATTGATGTTTTTATTTTTCATGTTTAATAATAATTATTATTAATTCTTTTCCGCCTTGGAGCACAATATCAATAATTAGCGCAATTAATTAATTATTAATTAAATAAAATTATTTTATTATTATATTAATATTAGAAAAAAATATTAATTTTAATTAATAATAATTATATTTTTAGTTGATTTGTTGTTTATAGCACCAAAATTTATCAAAAAAATAATGGTAAAACCTAATTAATAAGAGTAATCATATACTAAATAATCAAAAATTCAAATTTAGAATTTATTATTTGATTAAAAATTAAATTAAAACTCTAAGAATAGAGGATGTATCACTTTAAGAGGAGAAATGTTTAATGAGGAATAAAAATAATTTATATCTTAATTAGCATCAATATATGATTTATATGCTTGAATACAATTAATTAGACTAATTTGCTATGAGGTGTCCATCATTTACCATTTTAAACAGATGCTGGATAAAGGGCTATAGTGAGATTCACTCAAGCCAATACTACAAATTGATTATTTATAATATGAAAATTTACATAATTTTGTTAAAATAGTACCATGGTCAATGATAAATAATATTAACGTATTTAATTTGAAATGAAATATTCAAACAATCCATAATTTCAATCTATAGAAAAGGTTAGGAGAGGTACTTTGATATTTTTAATCCACTTAGAATCTCCATAAACTGATAGGTTAAAAAATTTAACTGAGAAGTGGTCAAATTTAAAATAAGGATTGGATAAAGAAAAAAATGACAAAAAAGAATTAGTAGAATAACACATCCAAAGAATAGAATCACTTTTGAATTAAGAAAGACCTAAGGAAGAATAAAAGTTCAAGACTTTAAAAGACCATTTGTTAAAATTACAAGATTAAGTTTATTAAGAAAAAAATGATAGAGAATTATTTGATGAATTAAAATAGAAAGATCTAAGGAATTTTGAAGAACAATTAACTTAGCAAGTGGAAGACGAAAAAAGTGTATATATTTGAATTTGTAATTAGAACAAAAGAAAATTAGAATTATAATTATTAAAATAAATTGAAGAAAGGTTTAACAGTCTAAATTCAAATTTATAATAGAACAATGGAAATTGTAAAGATAAAACAAATAAATTATTATAAAGCATTAATTTATAAATGAGTGAATTGAAATATTTATTAGAAGGAGAAACTCAAAATAGAGAAGATTCATAGAATAATTTAATTGAATAAATAGATAACTAAATTAATGCATTTTAAGATATGTTACATGTAGAAAGATAAATTAGGGATGAAACCTAAAAGAAAATATTTAATATGATAGAAGATATACATTAAAGAATTCAGACTGAATTAAGAAGTGAAAAACAATAAAGAGAATCTATGGCAGATTAATTATTGAGACTATTAGAAGACACATGTGTGAGAATTGATGAATAGTTTAATAATTGAAATTCTTAATATATTAATTTTATGGGTTAATAATGTTGTTAAACCTGCAACAAAACAACAGATGAAGAGAAAAGAGAAATCTTAGTTCCAGATTAAATTATAGCTCAAACTGTGTCTATATATAATGAAAACTCATCTTCAGAATTTAAATAATCTGTCATTTTACTTTCTAAAGATGAATAGTATGAAGAATAACCTGAAAATGCATTTCCAATCGAATCTATCAAAATTCCTAAACAAATAGAAGAATACTTATCTACTCTCCCTGAGTTTAATTACTAAATGAATACAAGAGGACAATATTTAGGGGCTTTTTTACTTAAAGATAATTCTCAGTATGATGGAGAATGGCATAAATCAATGAGACATGGAAAAGGACGCTGTGTATTCCCTAATCTAGTTTATTATGAAGGATCATGGAAGGAAGATAAAATTGATGGTTATGGTAGATTAATACATCCAGAACATGAATATTATGAAGGTTTATTTACAAATGGATTAAAGAATGGTAAAGGTAGAGTTACTCAAAATAATGGTGCCTATTTTGAAGGAGAATTTGTATATGATAAAAAACATGGATATGGTATCGAAGTCTGGCCTGACGGTTAATAATATGAAGGTCAGTATTTTAATGGATCTAAAGAAGGTAGAGGAATCTTTACTTGGGCTAATGGGGATACCTATGAAGGAGAGTTTAAAGACAATAAAATGGAAGGTATTGGAATCTTTAAATGGAAAGATAAGGAATATGAGGGTGAATGGAAAGATAGCAAGATGAATGGATAAGGAGAATTTAGATGGAATGATGGTAGAAAATATATTGGAAGTTATAAAAATGATAAAAAAGACGGTTATGGTGAGTTTAATTGGCCAGATGGTAAATATTATAAAGGTTAATGGAAAGATGGAAAATAGCATGGAATTGCTCTTTATAAAGGTAAAGACATGCCTAATGAAAGACAATGTTATTTTGAAGAAGGTAAACGAACTAAATGGATAGAATGAATTTAATTGATTATTTACTTCTATATTAATTAACTGATAATAATAAGTATTCAATATTATTCTAATTAGTTATTATTTAATATAATAATATATATATTAACCTTAATTATATATAAAGAATGACCTTTAAATAACCGAAATATTAATATATTTATATTAAATTGCAAATCCTTGAAGAAAAAAAGCATTAAGTAGACTATGATAAATAATGAGTGATTATTGAATAAATATTTAATAAGGTATATAAATACTATATTTACAATAATTTCATTTTTTTAAGTATGTACAAATATCTTAAACAATAGTATTTTATTGTAGTTATATTCTTAAATATTTTCCTCATATATATTTATTATATTAAGAATATTTAAATAATATTTCTTAATAGGTACTAAATATTTATAAAGCTGATAATTATGATAAATAATAATCAATACATATTTCTTAAATATGTAAGTCCAAAATAATTTAAAGGTTTATTTCTTTAAGATTAATTAATATTATATAGTTTTTTATAATGGAAAGTTTTATAGACTTGACTTAACTTGAGCCAATACCATATAAAAATACTATTGCTGTATTGAATGAATACATGCTTTAGAATATTGACTTTTTAAACAAGTATAATATACTACCATAATTACAGATTCGGACATTTCAATGAAAACAAATTATTTGAAATGGAAGTAGTTCTGGATGAGATTGAGTCGAAAGTGCTATTATTAGAAAAGAAACTAGAATCAATTCCACCAGAATTCTTTAATGGTTTAGTTGTACCTCCTTTATAATAATAATAACAAGTAGCATAACCTCAGGCTGTAGAACCTTAAAGTNAATGGAAGGTATTGGAATCTTTAAATGGAAAGATAAGGAATATGAGGGTGAATGGAAAGATAGCAAGATGAATGGATAAGGAGAATTTAGATGGAATGATGGTAGAAAATATATTGGAAGTTATAAAAATGATAAAAAAGACGGTTATGGTGAGTTTAATTGGCCAGATGGTAAATATTATAAAGGTTAATGGAAAGATGGAAAATAGCATGGAATTGCTCTTTATAAAGGTAAAGACATGCCTAATGAAAGACAATGTTATTTTGAAGAAGGTAAACGAACTAAATGGATAGAATGAATTTAATTGATTATTTACTTCTATATTAATTAACTGATAATAATAAGTATTCAATATTATTCTAATTAGTTATTATTTAATATAATAATATATATATTAACCTTAATTATATATAAAGAATGACCTTTAAATAACCGAAATATTAATATATTTATATTAAATTGCAAATCCTTGAAGAAAAAAAGCATTAAGTAGACTATGATAAATAATGAGTGATTATTGAATAAATATTTAATAAGGTATATAAATACTATATTTACAATAATTTCATTTTTTTAAGTATGTACAAATATCTTAAACAATAGTATTTTATTGTAGTTATATTCTTAAATATTTTCCTCATATATATTTATTATATTAAGAATATTTAAATAATATTTCTTAATAGGTACTAAATATTTATAAAGCTGATAATTATGATAAATAATAATCAATACATATTTCTTAAATATGTAAGTCCAAAATAATTTAAAGGTTTATTTCTTTAAGATTAATTAATATTATATAGTTTTTTATAATGGAAAGTTTTATAGACTTGACTTAACTTGAGCCAATACCATATAAAAATACTATTGCTGTATTGAATGAATACATGCTTTAGAATATTGACTTTTTAAACAAGTATAATATACTACCATAATTACAGATTCGGACATTTCAATGAAAACAAATTATTTGAAATGGAAGTAGTTCTGGATGAGATTGAGTCGAAAGTGCTATTATTAGAAAAGAAACTAGAATCAATTCCACCAGAATTCTTTAATGGTTTAGTTGTACCTCCTTTATAATAATAATAACAAGTAGCATAACCTCAGGCTGTAGAACCTTAAAGTATTTTGATGTGTTAATAATAGATAATGAAAATAATGCTATCCCTCCTCCACCACCTCCTCCCCCTCCTCCTTAAAATTATTAGTAGGCTGTACCTGATTAAGAAGCTTCTTATTAAATTGCTGCTCCTCCTTAATTCGAATAATAAATACAATAACCAGAGTAAGTCTAAGAGGAATAACAATAATAAGAAGAAGTAGAAGATGGTATGAATTAATTATAATAACAATATAGAGAGATTGGATAAATACAAAAAACTATTAAGTTATGGAGTAAATGCTTAATAATTGAAAATGAAAATGTAGATGGAAGGCTTAGACCCAAATTTATTAGACAAGTATTTGAATTGATATTGAATCAAATTTAATATATATATATATATAATAAATAAATTTTAGATGCAATATATAAATTATTTAAAGGAATTAATTGGATACTATTTCTAACAGAAGTAAGAAGTAGTTTTCATAGAGGAAAAAGTTGAAAGGATACAATTTGATAGAAATGTTGAAATCATTCAATACAGATTTTAAAAAAGGATTAATAAGGAAACTCAAACAATTGACAATAAAAAGATTAGAAAAAGGAAATGGGAAAAAACCAAGAAAATGATATAGAAAAATAGACCTTGTAGATGGTCAGAACCATCAACTATAGATTTTTGATATGATTAACATATATTAATGTAGATAATATAAAACAGGCATTTAGTTTGGTTGAAAATATATATTAAATAATTTTATTAATTACAATGAAAATTACGAACAAACTACTTAAGCCATTTTTTCTTATCGTTGTCTTGCTTCTTTTGTATATATATATGAAACCAAGACAAAAAAAATTTGATCTAGATGAAGATCTGTAATTTTTCTTTTAATTTTAGACAACCTACTCTCTCTTAAGGAAAAGGAATCACTCGAGAACATGCCATCCATTTTTATGAAGTCTTCCTCAATATATTATTGAATAAACATAATAAATTTGCTGAACATGCTGAAAATGTTTATTTGATCAATTATTTAATAAGAAACGATGTAAAATGGAGGGTCACTGAAACCATGCTGTTTTAACTATTTGATGTTACAGGTAACTAATAAAAATTATGAAGGTAATAACTACATAAGTAAGAGTGAATATGAATCATTTGCTGATATGATTGATGATGTAGGTGATAGATAGAAATTAGATTCTTTAAGAATGTTAATTGATAGAAATATTGATACAAAAATTATGAGAACTGAATGGATTAACTTTTGTAATAAAGTTTTAAGACCTAAAATGATTTAAGACTTATAGGAATGGGAAAAGTTTCATGGGGCATTATCAAATCCTTATAATATCACTGCTCAATTTACAGCTATTAATAGGGATGAAAGAAATCATAGAGATTTGATTCATTTACAGTTGGATAGAGGATTATAAATGTTACATGATGGATTCAAGACATTTGTAAAACACTATGAAGAATAGATAAAACATACAAAGAATGATAAAGATTTATTTGTTAGAAAAATAGGATTTTGGATACTTGAAAGATTTGAGAGATGGGATGGATTATTTAATTGGATTTATTAATTATTAGATGATAATGGTGATGGATAATTAACACCAAAAGAATGTGCTGCATAATTGAATACATTTGCAGTGTCAATGGTACATGTAAGAGAGATTTTTGAATATATGGATGAAGATGGAGATGGTATTTTATTAAGAAAAGAATGGGCTGATTTTAGTGAAACATTTAGAAAACTATTATCAGGTTATTTTAATTAAAAATGAGTTGATAACATTGATTAAAATATAAATATTAAAATTCAATCATGTTCAGTCTCAAATATTAATTATTCAAAATCATTATTCATATCTTTAACATTGTCTCGCCATTAATTCAATTCAACTTCATTTCTATTTGATAATGCTGTAAATTTTTAATAAATGGAATAAATATTGCTAAGAGATTCAACTTAAGCTTCTTTTGCCTTTTGAATATCATTTGCAAATTAATCAGCCATTTTTTTAACTTTGAGATCAGCAGGATCAGAACCTTAAACTTTAAATTTATTATATTAATATACTTTATCTAATTGATTAATAGAATTAATCAAGAGTATGTAATAATGGATATGAATTTTATATGCATTCTTCTAATTGTTGACATTTATAATTAAGTTATTTTGTAAGTGTTTATTCCTATTTAATCATTAAAAAGATAGTTTCAATAGCAATTTCTTTATTTTTATTATTTTGTTATGCTTTTTAATGTTCACTCATTACTATTGCTGTTTACTTTTTGATATGTATATCAAGATTATCAGCTTCTTCTTATAAATTTTAAACCTCTTTTTAAAGATCAGTTATTTTTTATCTTTCCTTCATCATTGCTTCTTCTATTTAATTCAAATACATTTTGCCTTCCATTATAATTTAATTGGCTGCATCATTAGTTTATTTTTCCAATTCAGTTGGTTCTTTTAATTGTTCCCATTCAGCATTTGAATTTATAGATCCTTAAGATAAAAAATACATATCCATAGAGCAATAAGTCTGTTCTATTCCTCCCATAATTAAAATGATATCTTCTATTTAACAACTACAATGTGAATATCTTGGAGAAGGAATAGGTCCAGCAGTAAATGGAGAACTCCAATGATAATCAGTTAAATTTAATAAATAAGTTTCATTTAGAACTTTATTAGCTACATTATCAATTCCACCAAATATTATAACATTATCCTTAACCAAACTTGTTGAAAAGAATGCTCTTGTACCTGGTGCCTTACCTAAATGTAATATTCTTTTCCATTAATAATTATCCAAAGAAAGCTTATATAATTAAGTAGTTTCATCTGAGCATTTACCACCAAAAACAAACATATTATTTTAATATACTACAGCACCATGTCCTTATCTTGGAGTAGGATGTTCTCCTTTACAATTTTTCTTAGTTGCTACAGCTCCAGGGATTTCTTATTGATTTGTAAATTGAATGGCTGAATAATTAAATATCCAAACATCATTATACATTAAATCTTCAGGTAAACATGCTCCTCCAAAAATGATCTTTTCCATTCCAGGTAAATCACACATAGTATGATTATGTCTATTTGGAGGACTTTCTAATAGAAATAGTCTCTTCCATACAAAATTCTAAAAGCTTAAGCAATAAAAATCAGTTAAAGATCTACCTTTATCTGCTTATCCACCATAATAGTAGATGACATTCTAATTTTCTAAAAATAATAAATATTTATTTATTACCATCATAAAAACCACTATGATAACATCTTGGTGAAGGTTGTCTACCTTGAGTTTACTATACTTTCCATTCATCTTTTTGAATATCAAAAATCATTATTTCATTTAATCTTCCATTACAAATTCCCCCAAATAAAACTACACTTTGATATTTAGGAATGTAAGTGAGTGTAGCTCCCTCTCTTGATGTTGGAAAGGCCAAGCCTTTTGTAGGACGTTACTTTAACCATTTGAATTATTAATTCATAAAAAATAAGTATAAATGAAATTTATATAATAATAGTTCAAAATGTGTGATATAGTTTGGAATATCAATTGTAAGACAAAGTTAATTATTTAATAGTATTGATCTAATAATTATAAATAAAAAAGATGTAGAGATTATTAACATTAACCTATCCTTGTAGTAAATAATTAAAAATTTATAAATCAAATTTCTTTGTCTTAATTATATTAATAATATTGTTTTTAATCATGAAATAATATTGAATATATATCTATTTAAAAACAATATCTTTCATCAAATTAATTATTTATATCATAATCAAATGATCTACCAAATAATTATCATTAAATACATTTAATATACTATCTTTTATTATTACTAATCATATATAATCTATATGAATATTTAATTTAGTATGACTTAAATAACATATCATATTGTCAATCATACTTATATAATTAGTTATAATTCTGAACTCAAAAATAGTTAGCATTTGATCCTTTCAGAATGGTAAATAAAACGGGAATTAATTGATTTAAATAATAATATTATTATTATTTACCAAATCTTTATGAATATTATTAATCAGTTGTTAGCAGGAACAAATCGTATACATCTTAAATATTCACTTAAGTTTTTCGCCTAAATTTCTAGATGTGCAACAATAAGAACTTGAATAATACTTTAAATGATAAGTAAGACTAACTCAATTTACTATAAAATACCCTCTTCTCTAATATGGTGATAAAATTCATTTAATTATTAGTTGATTGCTTCATCAATTTAAAATTTAGAAAAACATTCCAATCAATAACAGGTACCAGTTGTTGCCAAGTCAAAAAAGATGTAAATAATCAAAGTTTATGCTTTTAGTAGTAAACGTGATAATAATTGTGGCCATCCTGAGAGGGAACATTATGCTAAAGGTATGTGTAGTAATTGCTACCATAAATATGGAAGGACGAAAAAGCCTTGGATCTGTGGCCATTAGAAATTATATGCATGTAAATATCATATAATTCATTTTAGAAGGATTATGTTAAAACTGTTACATCAATTAATATAATCAAAAAAAAAGAGAAGCTTGGGTAGATAATGACAAAGCAAAGTCAGAGGAATAAAAATAATAAATATGATAAATTTTATTTAAGTATTAGATATATAGAAAATTCTTATTTAATTGTTAATTAAGAAGTTATTCTTCTAATATCATAAATTTTATGATCAATTATTTTCATAAACCTTTTGATTTAGAATATTTATTTATTTTAACATAATGACAGACTGTATTCTATTATTTATATTGGTTTTCATAATTTAAAAATTACTTTAATAAATATAAAAAAATTAATATTATGATTCCATTTATCAAAATAAGCTTTTTATTGTCTATAGTAATTGAGAGAGGAAATATTATAATAAGAGTTTTAGAAAATTTTAATAAAATAATTGTAAAATGATTATGGAATCATTTTCTTAAAATAAAGTATTAAATAATAAATTTTTGTTAATAACTGTAATGATAATGACATAATCAAAAAAAGGAAGAGAATTATCTAACTAATTTATTTATATATTAAATCTGATTTACATATTGATGATCAATATTGAATTCAAAATCTATATCAGCAATTATTATTCTAAAGAAAATGAAATAAATCTATATGGTTTTCATTTTTTTAATATTATTTACATATATATAATAATATAAATAATAAAAAAATGCAAAAGGAATCATTTAAAAAACAATATTCGAAAGAGTAAAGACTTAAAGAGAGTGAGAATATTCTAAAGCATTATTAGGATAGAGTTCCTATCATTATTGAAAAAGATAAAAATTCACGTCTTCCAGATTTAGATGTTTAGAAGTTCTAATTTTCACTAATTTAGATATCTCTTCCTTTCAAATTTTCGAGTATTTCAATTAAATACTTTAATACGAAGCAAATTAAACCTAAACAAAGCTGAAGCAGTTTATTTATTTGTGAATAATAAAGTTGCTTTAAGAGGAGGTACAAATGAATGTTATTAGATATGAGCATAAAGGAGGTTTATGACAAGTATTAAGATGATGACAAATTCCTTTATATATAATATTGTGAATACAATACATTTGGGTTTTGAATTGAGATTTTACATTTATGGAATATATATCGATTTATAATTTCTAAATTAGTTTTTCTATAATTCAGTATGGATTTAGAAAATAATTAGTATGGTTTATTCAGAAATACTTGAATTAAAACATATTCAATATATTTATACTAAGTTAATCATATGTTTATTAAGAAATAGAGATGAAGAAGAATGATATTTTACAGTTTATATTAAATTGATTAATTAATGGACCCAAAACAGAGAAAAAAGTCTTAGGAAGAGATTGTTTAAATACCTTAAAGAAAAGCTTAACGAGTAGCTGGAATACAATAATCTTCAGGGGCACAACATATTTATGAGACATATGTCTAATGTCAAAAATAATAACAGAGATCAGATATTGTTTTTATTGTTATGTGTTTGAAACTTCATTTTGTATTCAGTTTTTTGAATGATGCTTAATTGTATTAGATAATCTTAAACAAAGAAATCATTTAGCTAGTTAGATGTTTTATTGTAAATTATTGAAAGGGCAATCTATCATCAAATAAGGAGATGGTGCAAATGCATTCTTTATATTAGGTAATATTTTGATGTGATATGTAGAAAAGGGGAAAATATAAGTATTAATAAATGGATTGGCCAAAAAACAATTGATATCAGGTAATGGATTAGGTGAACTAGCCTTATTATATGATGCACCAAGGTAATTAATTAATTTAGTTTTTAGGAGTGCCACATGTACTGCATTAGAAGATTGCTATCTATGGGGAATAGATAGAGCAACATTTAGAAGGACAGTTGAATAAATTATGAAAAGTGAATATGAGAGAAATAGAAAATATTTGGAAAATGCAACATTTTTTAGTAATTTTAAGAATTAATTAGAAGATCATTTAACAAAAGAGTAAAAAGATGCTATTGGTGGAGTGTTGATTTCTTAGAAATTTTAGATTAATTAAATAATAGTTAATAAGGGTGATTAAGCAGATTCACTTTTTATAATAGCTGAGGTAAGGATTTATATACAAATAAGGGCAAAGTCGGTGTGTATACAGACGATGGGCTATTAATTAGAATGTTATCAAAAGGGGAATATTTTGGAGAAAATGCTTTATTATAAGATAATTGTGTTAGAGGATTAACAGTAAAGGCAATAGAAGAATCAAGACTTTTGGCTTTGGGGAGAGAAACTTTAACTAAAATATTGGGTGATGGAGTTTAAATGATAATATATAAGAATTAATGCAAATGGATACTACAATAGTCAAAAATAAATTTAATTATTTAAATAGATAAATTTTTAGATTTATTAACAATAAGAAAATTGAAAAAAGGAGACATTATTATTAACAAAGGTTAATAACATGGAGAATTGATAATATTGATTGATGGAAAAGTCAGTGATGTAATGATATGAATAGATCAATAGTCTAATTAAAATATGATATGTGAGAAGGGCAAAATCTTATTAGATAAAACAGTGGAGTCAAATGGAAACCATGATTAAGATTACTTTATGTTAGAAGATGGTATAATAGCAGCCATTGATTATAATATAGTAAAAAAGTAGTTTGGTGAATAAGTAAATATATTATATTTATATATATAAGTAATAAATATTAGAAGTATATACATAAGAAACTAATAACAAAGTTAATAAAGTGAAAGATTATTAATTGGAGGATCTGAATTATTTAAAAACTTTAGGATGTGGATAATTTGGAATGGTTTATTTATGTTAATTTAAAAATGAATCATCTTTATTTGCATTAAAAATAATGACAAGAGCTAATATAAAGTAATTTGGAATAGCAAAACATGTTGCGAATGAAAGAAGAGTTTAATCTATTTTGGATCATCCTTTTATTATGCATTTTTTTAGATCTTTTAAAGATGAAAATAATATTTATTTATTAAATGAATATATTCCTGGAATTGAATTATTTGATGCTATTAGAGAGATTGGATTATTAAATAAAAATGATTCATAGTTTTATATATCTTAAATGATATTGTAAACAGAATATTTACATACAGTTCATTAAGTAATGTACAGAGATTATAAACCAGAAAATCTTATTGTTGATGATACAGGTTATCTTAAATTAATTGATTTTGGAACAGCCAAATTAAATTAACCAGGATAGAAAACATTCACTATTATTGGTACTCCACATTATATGGCACCAGAAGTTATAAGTGGAAAAGGATATAATTAAATGGTTGATTTATGGAGTGTTGGTGTTATGTTATATGAATTTGTATGTGGTGGATTACCTTTTGGAGAAGATGCAGAAGATCCTTTTGAGATTTACAAAGAAATTACTAAAAAACCTTTGTCTTATCCTTCCTATATGTCTGATAAATCTGCAAAAGTTTTCATTGAATAATTACTTAATCGTATACCTGAATTACGTTTAGGAGGATCATATTAAACTTTAAAATAACATATTTGGTTTAAGGATTTCTAATGGGATGTTTTGATTACCAAGAAACTCAAACCAGTATATAAACCAGCTTAGAATAAAATAATTACAAATGGATAGGCTTAAACAATGAAAAGGTTACCATTATTTGAATAGATGCTTAAAGATGCATAATACTTCAAAAAATCATAACCTAATCCCAAAGATAGTGAATGGGATTATGAATTTTGAATAGCTCATATTATCAATTTGTTTTCAAGATGAACTCCAGATGGTGATATCTTATTTGGTCTCACTCCATAAACATCATCATCATCTACATATTTCCTTCTTTAAATTCTTTATGATTGTCTGTTATCATGATAGGTCATACATTTAATAGGTTTTTGTCTTTATTTAATAAATTAAATATCATTTTCAGCCTAAGATACTTTAATATTTTATTTTTTAGCAAATTCCAAAATTAAATCAAATTCTCCCTTCTTTTAACCATATATTTCTTTATAAATTTCATTTGATTATTTAATATTTTAGATATATTTATTAAATGATTATGATCTATCTAAAAATAATTTTTCATTTAAATGTTAATGTTCTGAATAAACTCTTCTTTTATTGTTGTTTATTTTATCTATTTTTAAATTATATTTTATAATACTTTTTGTCTTATCAATTTCTATTATTGCTTCTTTATCTAAAGGATATTCTTTGAATTCAGGACATTGAGGTCGTTCTGCTCTCATTCTTCTCATTGCTATTACAGAATGCCATTTAGCTGATGCTAATGCTGATGCTGATAAACCACTATATAAAATATTAGAAACTGCATGTTTATGATTATGTATTTCTTATATTCCTTCAAAGATAAATTGATCTTGATATTATTTTAGAAAATGCTCTTTCATTCTTGATATATTATTTATGATTTCTGGTTTTTTTGGATTTAAAAAACAATCATCCTAATATATTTCATTATTCTCTTAGTCTAAAACTTTATTAAATTATTCAGATAATGAAAAATTCATTATTTTACGAATATGTTTTGATAAATCTTCTTATAGTTCTATTGACTCCTTTATTTTGACTCTTCTAAGATTTTTATGTGGAACTTTCTTATATCTATTATTGTTCTCACAAGTACTAGCAGATTAATCTCTTTAAAGTTCAGATTTCATTAACGATTTATAAATTGAATTTAATATTTCAATTATTTATTTATCAATTATTTTTGTAATTTTATTTATTAAATCTAATCAATTTTAATATAATCAAACTAATAAATAAATTATTATGTATTAGATTGATTAAATAATAATAATTTAAGTTCAAGTTTATTTATTTTAGAAATCAATACGAAATGTTACATCCTTAGGAGATACTTGCATCACATTCTTTTAACTGTTATAACTATAATCAAGAAAGGTATCACAGAATAGCTTAGGGGATTAAACAACTTAATTATTATTTTGATTTGGAAGATTCTTTATTTTATCTTTCTATAAAATTTATAATATAAATTATTACATCTATTTGAAATTTAATAAAAGAAGTTAATTCTGATACAATCATTTATTATTGTCTTGGATATTTGAAATTCTCAATAATATAACAATCTTATGATTTACTCTATGTAAAATCTAATAATTTTTATTTGAAAACATTAAAACTTTCTTAAAAGAATGCTAATTTATTCTTCTTTCTATTACTATAAAAGAGATAATCATAATGGATTGTAAATTTAGAAATCATTTGAGTATTAATCATATTTTATATATTTCTTAGTGGTCTAAAAAAGATTGGAATAATAATTATTGAGAGTAACAATAAAATGACAGCCACAATAACAAAATAATATAAAAATTAGGTTATTTCAGACATTATTTAATCTTGTAATTCTTTGGCTTTTGTTACATTTGTAGTAATATGAGCTAAACTCTAAAATCTATTATGTTAATAATGATACTTTACACAAGCAAATAAAATTAACTTGAAATGTTTATCACAATAATAATCAGATCTTACTTAAAAAATGTATTATATCTACAAAATTGTTTAATACCATTGTCATTACATTCAATAATACCTTAACCTTATTAATTTGCCTCTTTTACAATTTATTTCCAATCATTTTCATCAAATCCAGTTGTATCACTATCATAAATATATTTCTTATCTTTTGATAAATCTATATTTTATTCAATTATTAAATTTGATAATAACATTCTTCCTTCTAAATCAACTAAAATTATATTCAAATCATCATATAATAAAAGCTCTTTATAATGTTCTAATGTTTAATCTATTCCAAATATCCCATTAAAATTTTATTCTTTGTCTGTTAATCCTTTTGTTATAGTAAATTCATATTTTTATGTTTCAAAATTTTGATAAATACTCGAAATTGTAATTACATCATTTTATTATGTCTATTCTACTTTTTAAATCTATTCTTAATACCATGGTCTTGCTGATGGTAAATAAATAGTTGGAATCATTTTAGGTGGAAGAATTGCAAAATATTCTTCATCTGATATAAAAGTAAAAAACATTGTTTTTTGAAAATCTGATAAAGAAATAGGTAAAAATAATGAATTTAATAAAGCCTGATAACCTATTATATGATTTATTAATGTTTTATCTGATGTTATTGTATTACTCTTTGTTAATTTGTAACAAAATTAAGGCATTTTTTAATAAATATTGAAACTTTCTTCATCCTTTGGACATTCTAATAACAGATGAATTGAAGTGGTTTGGTCTATTAATGTCAATTAATTCAATTTATTGAAGCATTCGAGAAATTTGAATCCATATTCTAAAGGATGATGAGCTTAATATTTTATGAATTGAGATTAAATGTTTATCTATTTCAGATTAGTTTTTATTTCTATTTCTTTAGTTAATTTTTCTATTATATCATCCATCATAAATTTGTTAATCATTTGGGAAGACATGACAATTAAAAATACTAAAACAAAAATGAAAGATTGCAATATAAAGGTTTGAGTTTGCATTTTCATGTTTCTGATGCATTTAAAATGATGGATACAACTATTAATTCTTGTTAGTTTATGCATTAATTTGTTTAATTATCATTTTCTAAGAAAACTTAATTAATTTAATTATGATGTTAATTATTTAAGTATCATATCTGATTATATAAACATATTTCAAACACGATATTTTATATTGTTACCTACTCATTTTAGGTTTATATAGAAATTGAGATATATTTATTTTAAAAAAAAGATCAAAATATTTGTTATTTTTCATTAATTAATAATAACTTTTTACAATCTTATTTTTATATTTTATAATAATACTCTTAATATAAATAATTGGATTAATATAATTATATCTTGATCCTTTATATTTATTTTCAAATTCTTAGAACTTATCCAAGTTTGATATTTACATTCAAAATTTATTTAAAATAAAAAACATAAATATCAAAGGAACTATTAATTGTATAAATTAATTATTAATTTAATTACCTGATTTATATATCATTTGATATATATAAATATTTTTTATAAAATATTAAATCTCTTTGCTTATTATAAGATGTAATCAAAGTTCTTATATTATAATCACTTATTTAGAATCAAAAAACTATATTAAATTCTTATTTTGGCAATTCTACAAAATTTAGCCATTTCTAAAATATTGAATATGAACTTATTAAGATTTTTCATTATAATTAGATATTAAAAATGCCTCTATCTTTGTTAATGAAACTAATTTAGTTTATGCTTATAAAAAGATAATTATTATAATTTTTGTTTGTTTTCAAATATCTTTTTATTAATAATTATTATATTAGTTATTTTATATAATTAAATTTTTATAAACAATATTGTTAGTATTTATTGATTAGGCTATTATTATATAAAGGGATGAATTAATATTTATATATATAATTATTGTTATGTAAATAAGTAACTTTAATGGAATAAGTGTTATCAAAAGTAAATAGTAGCTTAGTTAACTTAACGTATTATTATTATATAAATACTCAAAAATGATAGATAGATTTCTTATATAAAAGAATAAATATCAGAAATAGCCAACAATATTGATGATTTTATATATATAACTTAAGAATAGTTATATAATTATTAAATAATATGGATAATAGTTGAACTAAACCACTTTAGTAAAGATCTGTTGTATTTATTTATGAATCATTTACGAAATGACATTAATCAATATTTTCTAATATAATATAATTAAGATTCATCAATTTAAAGTATAAAATTTAAAATGGTACCGTTATTTTATGGTTTATTAATAATATGTAGAATTCAAATTCAATAAAATATATTGGATAATTGAAGTAACAAATGATAAGAGAATATCTATAATAGGTTAAGTACAATAATAAAGTGAGAAATACTTATGAAATTTAAAGAGAATAAATTTGTTGAAGATTAGGTATTTAGACAAAAGAATATTTGAAGATTTATAAGATAAATAACCCAATAAACAAATACATCTTTGTGATCTGATGTAGGAATGTGAAAAAATGATAATGGTTAGTTTAAAATAAAATCATGCTAGATTTATATATTTATAAGAATTAGATGAATAAGTTAATATATATAAATTGAATATATCAGAGATTAATTTGATTCAAATAATAATTAATGTTATCAAAAATAATCTTACTATTCTTAGTGATATTTATTAGGTGTGATACTGTATTAGATATAGGATGTAAATGTAGTGAAATACAGAATGAAACAGATTGTAAAAGAATACAATGTAAATATGAGAATGGCCAATGTAAGGATAGAGAACAGGAGATGTATTGTAAATTAGCAAGCACAATAGAAAAATGTCCTGTTTTAGGATGTGCTCTATATGAAAATATATGTCAAGCATTTGCTGGTTGTACTGCATATTTGGGTAAAACATTTGATGCTTGTAATAATATATCTGATTTGTGTACATCAGATGGGGAAAGATGTGTTCCTTTATCTACTTGTGATACATACTTAACTAAAATATCATGTTACATTGATAATGCTAATTAATATTGTTATTTTGATGAAAGTGATGCAGCCAAACCTCAATGTAAAACTGTTACTACTTGTAAAAATTTACCTACGACTTTAAAAACAAATCAAGAATGTCGTTCAAATCTCTCAACTTGTACTGTTAATGAAACCAATTAAGGATGTGTTGATTCAGGAAAGAATTGTAGTGATTAAAAAACGAAATCATAATGT